TTAGCAAGACCCTCAAAATAAAGTTAAAAATAAAATTTAAGAGGGGCAGAACACTTGCCTAGATTGTGTGAGGCCCTGGGTTCCATTCCCCAGTACAAAACGTACAAAACACAATTCCTGAGATCTTCAGATACAATAAGTAAATGGATGATTGTCTGTTATGTACATATTTAGAATCAAATGCCTGACCTATAGTCACTAAACTGAATTCTCTTCACATTGTAGATTGAACATGTCCCAAACTGAACTTGTGTTTTATGCCAGAGAACCTGTTTGTAGGTAAGCCAATGCTATCACTGTGGGTGTCACAAGGAAGGCATCACTGTGCGGAGTCTGCCCTGAAGCGGCCTCCTATCCTGGGTGAGCACCACCTCCTGAGGCAAGGCAGCCCCGATTCCTCTCGACTATTGCAATGTTTTCCCAACTGGACCTTCAGTCCCCACCCCTCACTCCAGAACTACCTTGTTGTTTTGCTGCTTCACTTTAAAAGCCTCCATGCTCTTTGATGCTCTTGGGGTGAAGTCCAGTCCTTGGCACAGCCCGAGGTCTGGTACCCTCCCACCCTTGCCTGCCTTTCCAGCTGGCTATCTATCTGGAGCCTTAGCATTTCCTCCCCAGGTAGGACACTGCTTCTGCCTCCCACAGCTCTCTGCAAGGCCGAGCCCCGCTGCTCATCCTCAACATAAATGAGATCTCCCTTGGGCCTGGCTTCTTTCTCTCTGCTTCTCCTGGCACTGATCACGGCAGGGACATTTCTATCATCATCTGCTCACATACCTCCCACCTAGCATCTTGGTAAAGGCAGGGACTTTGTTCTCCTCCTTTCTTGAGTTCTCAGTGACTAGCACATGGTAGGGGTTCTCATGGATATTTCTAGAATGAATAATGGATGACGGTCTTAAAAAAACAACTGGCAAACTTGTGTTCAGCTTGAGGACGTTGGTGATGAGAGTCAGGCCTTCCAAGACTTCTCAACTCAGAGGGAAGCTCTGCCCTGCTTAGGGATTCTCTTTGGAGACCTGCCGCCCAAACAGAATCAGAGACAAGCTCACTTCAGCAGATCACACACAGGGAGGAAAGGAAGCTCCCTCGCTGACTTCAGACACTCCCCAGGAGGCAGAGGCCAGAGATCCCAACCAAGAACTGCCCGTGGATTCTGTTCCAGGAATTCTGAGAATAGGTGGGGCTGAAGGCAGTGGTTTACCATGGAGACCGCTCTCTGTGCTCTCTGCTTCTGTTTGTTTTTTTTCTCGGATTCTGTTAGGGCTCCTATGTAAATGGACTGCTTCTGGTAGTGGAAATTCATACACTCTGTTCTTTTCGAAGCTTGACATTGATGTGGAACTCTCCTCACACGTTCTTTTGTCTTGGATTAAGTTCCAAATAACTTTCCTAGGTTCATCCGTGAACACATGACCAGTGAAACTCCACATCACGTACAACCCTAAGAGTGGGACGTTGTACTCCATGTGTGCACCAGTGTGTCAAAATGCACCCCACTGTCATGTGTACCTAAAAAGAACAAATATAAGAAAAAGAAAAAAAAAATCCTAATTTGTTCATTCCTATTTTCTGGCTTGTGTCTCCTTCATCAGAACCCTTGATTCTGCTCATCAGAGAAAAAAAAAAAATAGAAAATGGATAATTCAGAAAAGATCCAAGGAGCCGCTTTTAACTGATGGGGAAGTCACACAGCAGCAGCGCAGGGAGAGGAGGGCCCACGCCCCACAGCCTCAGGAAACACAGCAATATGTGTTTAGAATCAAAATGCCTGACCTATAGCAATGTGGCTTCTAGCTTCTGGGTGTGGCAGACCTGAATCACAACGTTCTTCACCACACCCAGAGGTCTGCACTAAGGAGACAGCCACCAGGAAGATGTTTGTGGATGTCCGCTGTGTTTTCCAAATATGTGAGCACACATGATCAGCCTCCAGAACATCTTCCCTTTAATGACTCTCTCTCGAGGATGTGATTAACTGCTTCTTATTTGACATGAATAGGAATGTGAATCAATATGGCATCATGCCCCTACCCAGAAGGACACCCATACCTTTATTCTCTCACAGGTAAAAAAAAAAAAAAAAACGATATCATTAAACTGACAAGAGTTTTAGCATTTGAGTGAGTGAATTTGTTCAGTTCTCAGATGCCAAGACATAGAAAAAAGCAGTGGGGGATGAGAATAAATAATATGCTAGAGCCTTTGACTAGTCTCTAATTTTCTACTAGGTGAGCTCCTACTGATCCCTCAAAACCTAGCCCCAAGCAGCCCCTTCACCTGTGAAAGTTTTCATAACATTTATGGGAGAGTTAATTCCTTCTTTTGCTGTACAATCCTTGTAACTTTTATACTCTTTCATTGTGTATACTGCAGTATCTTTTTGTTTATGTAACAACCTCTTCCTTTAGATTATATGGGAGTCATAAGGGGATGATGCATGTTTTACTTATCACCTCCTCTGCATCTAACGTTGTTCTTGTCACACTTAAAAATGACTCAAAAAATATTTGCTAATAAGAAAGAAAATTAGGAATCTTTAAGAAAATCATAAATCCAGAAACTCTATGGATTACTGCTCAAGCTCTCATATCTCATGTAGTTGTACATCCAAGTTCTTTATACTCAGTTCCATGAGCACAGTTTCAGAGTTTTGCCAAATTCTGCCCATTTCCTGACTTCTGTTTCTAGCCCCATCTGGAGGCCTGGCATTCCCTCATCCTTATCAAAGGACATGCAGATGTTGTTCTCCTTTGTTTTTACTTCTGATAGACTTCTGATAGAGTTTCGGCAGTCTTATGTACCTGCAAAATTTTGTCTTTGAGTTGCCTCTTCCGAATGCATCATTCAGGAGTCCTAAGCCTTAGAGAAACGCCACACATCCAAAAGATGTGCAGGAAAATTCTGCAAGAGTTGACTTCAGGAAAGCAGGGAAAGAACCTGCTGGTTTTGTGCAACTGTCTACCAGATGTTTGTCAAGAGGACATTTTATTACAAATGGATATTCAAAGCGAACCTCCAGGGGTACCATATGATTACATCAGCAGCTGGGAGATGTATTTGTGTTGACGTTTATGTGTTGTGTGAGATCTTATCACTGAGGGGAGACCCTGCAAAAAGCAGATGGTCTGATGGATCTGGCCCTGTAAGTGTAACGATTAGGGCTGTAAATGTAGGCTTGTGATTGTCTGCCCATCGACATCTCATCACCTTGCTTCTTGTGTAGGGAACATGAGGGGCTCCTGCAATGTGACTTCTAATTTATTGTCTCCCTGAAGCCATACACTTCTTGCAGGTGACTTTGTCCCTCTACATCTGGGTTCTGCATCTTTAAGACAGTAATAAAGCAGTCCCTTCTGACCTTGCTGGATTGCTTTCAGGCTTGAAAGAGATAATACTTGCAGGCATAAACATCCAGCATACATGAAGGGGCCCCCACAGAAATGCTAATGGTGGTGGTGGGCCTCTTCTCCTTCATCTAATCTCCTTCACCTAATCCACCAGGTAGCCTTTCCTCCCAGAAACTATTTTCAAAACAATCATCTATTAATGTAAAAATAGGCTGACTTGAGCCTAACACACTATAGGGAAGTTTGTGGATGTGGGGAGGAAATGAGAATCTTATGCAGCCTCCAGGACAACCGTGAATCGGGAGAACATTCCCAGTCCAGGCTGGTAGACCAGTTGCTTCCAGCAAAGCCATCTCAGTGACTTACAACAACAGTGCAGATGTTTAAGTTCGTGACTATATATACTATATACGTAGATTTTTTTAAATTGACTTGACATATTTTAAGCTTCAAAGATTAAGATCGTAGGCATGTTTAAAAATAAACCTATAATTGTCAGAAAATAAGATTAACTCAACTTTGGTGTGATTACACCGACAAGGATATACCACACATTAATGCTCGAGATCTTATTTTTTTTAAAAAAAAAAAAACCCGAAAACATCACAGATGAGAAACAGCACCAAATGCTACAGCTTTCCAAACTGCTTCCAGCTGTGTGCAGAAAATTCACTGACCATTACCAGAAAGATCACAGATTATTTCTGTCTTTCTTCACACCTAAATTATTAAAGTTTACAAACTGAGAACTTTGTGAAGGGTCAACACAAATGGGCTTTTCTCTCTGTGTGGTCTCCATGGTCCTTCCAGACAAGGAAATAATAGCAACTGGAGCCCAGAAGCCATGACAGCATCTGGGGGCGGAGCCACGAGGCTGTTTCAATGCCTGGCCAATCCACTCTCAGCCTTTGCTGTCAATCAGATCCCAGCCCGCCAGGCTAGGACCACAGGGTCTTCCTGCAGGTGACTGAGGCACATGTGGCTTTGGAAGACTAGAGCGAGGGTGGAAAGATGATAGAAGGGAAGACAAAACAGAAACAAAGCCAGACCTGGAGATGGTTTTCAAACTCTTCCCTCCTGACATCATTGCTGTCCTTTTTTTCTTGTTTGTTTTTATACATTATTGTTTGCCTCACAGGCATCAAGCTGTTAGTGTGTACAGGAGGGATTAAAGTAAGACTGCATGTTGGATGAAATATAAATTAAAATTATACTTCTGTCAGTCTGGAATCAGGGATTGTTTCTCAAGGTCTCCCCAAACACTTAATTTCAAATGAGTCTTCATTTATTACTTCAAGAAAGGCCAAATGCATAATTTATCAGCAGCTTTCAGTCAATATACCCTTATAAGCATGTTTCCCATGAGCCTTTGAGTAAAAATATGTTATGCTAATTCTATTAGTTGGGTACACAAGAGCTGTCTAAGAGAGTAAACAAGCATTAAAAGGAGATACATGTGAACAAAGAAATACCTATCAGCCCACCGTTCAGGGGCAAATTGCCAAGGGAATAAGGAGGGGCTAAGCCTGTCTGCTGTTCATGCGGGGGTCTCGCTCCCATTAGAACGGAGACCCCCCAGTGGCCATGTGTGGGTGGTTCAGGGTCAAGGCAAGGGCAGCTGGCAGAGCTCTGAGTGGGGACGGGACTCACCGGGTCTCCAGGGGAACGTTGCTGTTCAGCACCCAGCTGTCCTGCAGTTGCACTGACTCCGGAGTTGTGGCCAGGTCATTGGGCGCTGGTGCAGGGGCGTGGATCTGACTCCGCCGGTTGGTCAGCGAGTTCCGGTTGAGGGAGTTGGCGGAGGAGTGGTGGTGGGACAGCGTATGGTTGTGAGGGGGCGGGAGAGGGGGCCTCAGCGTGGACTGGCTGTGGTGGTTTGGAGGGCCTGAAAAAGAAGAAGGAGAAAGCCGTCAGCGCCTGTCGATGGCAGCCTCGGGCACTCTGCAAACCCACAGAGGGGCGTCTGCAACCCAAATCCCTGAGATCCACAAACCAGAGGCACAGGTAAGAATGCAGAACGCCCCAGGGTTAGTTACAAATGCATGACGTGCTTTAATTTGCATTTATCCATATGCATCAAACAAAGAATGAGGTTAGCAAAATCAAGTTGGTGAGGGATGACCAGTGGAATATTTGGAACGTATAACTGCTCAATAAAAGTAACACAAGAGTCAAGGTTGATGATTGCTGTGACAAGTTTCCATTCCATTTCCTGGTAAACCTGTACACTGTACACACTCTTAAAAAAAATAGAGGCTGACCTGAAGGAAGGAGGAAGTAGAATAATGGTTACCAGAGACCAGGGAGGGTGGAGAGGTGGGAGAGGTTGGTCATGGGTGCAAATTTATAGTTAGCTAGGAGAGAGGAGTTCTGGTGTTCTGCTGCATGGTAGGGTAATGATGGTCAATAATCATATAAATGTCAGAATATTAAAAGAGGATTTTGGCCAGAGGCCACAGTGCACACTGTAATCCCAGTACTTAGGAGGCTGAGGCAAGTAAATTGTAAGTTTGAGGTCAGCTTCAGCAAGTTAGAGAAATCCTATCTCAAAATGAAATTTTAAAAAGGGACTGGGGATGTAGCTCTGGGGGTAAAGCACCCTGGGTTCAATCCCCAATACTGGAAAAAAAAAAAGATTTTGAATGTTTTGCCCTGAAGATAAAATATCTGAGGTGACAGATGTGTTAATTGTCCTGATTTTATCATTACATAATGTATACATGTATTGAAGCATCACATTGTGATCCATAATATATATAATTCTTGTGTGTCAATTAAGCATAAAATAATAAATTAATCTTTCTAAAAGGAACAAGAACATGGTAGGACATGGGGTGAGGCCAGGCAGGACAGTGAAGTGATTGACATTGGGTGCCCATGTGGCCATATGGAAATGCCCAAGGGCTCAAGGCAGACTCAACCTCTCCTTTTGCTAGAAGAGCTGAAGACCTGGACTTAGGGATGAAATTTCCTGGATTTTCAAGATTTGATAATTAATTCAAAATAAATTGATAAACAGGTAAGTAAATATGTACAGAAACACAATGTTTGTATGTGCAATTTTTTTTTTTTTTTTTGAGAGTCAACCAAAGACTCCCGGGAGCCCAGTTCGATCAGTGGGTTGATAATTTCTCTCCTCTGAAAGATGAACCCCGAGGACCGAGTCTCTCCAGAAGGTCAGGGGAGATGTTTTCCAACTGTGCTCCTTCCTTCAAGTAGCATCCTATTTTTAAAATAATGAAATCCTCTATCTTTTCAAGAAAAATGAACACATGAGATCGCCACGTCCGGGAATATCCCCGTGTAAATATCAACCACAGAAGACAGATCTGTGCGAGGTTTTCGTAGCAACCGGTCCCCAATCTTCTACACGATGAAATCTTTAAGCATAGTGAAATCGAAAGTGGTCTGCTCTGCGAAGTAAGCCTATAATTTCACTTTAATGGATGCTGAAACATGACTTTTAATTTGTGTCCTTTGAGAAAGTTTATCTTATTTTTTTTTATTTTTGAAGCCTCCAGGCAGGGCTGGCAGCTCACCAGGTGACTGCTGAGCCTTGTCATTTTGGCCCTTGCCAACTTTTAAAATCCTCAGCCCCTGCTGTCCTGGCTTGAAGAAGTTGGCTCAAGTCATTTAAACAAGCAATTTGACACAAATTTCAACTACTTGTCTCCTTATGTGGCCAGGCTCCATCTCCAAAAGGTGTAATCTACATTCTAGGGTTCCTGCGAAGCCTGCCCAAGCATCCTGAGGGAAAGACGACATGTCAAAATGACGCAAGGTTTGGAGATCACCGCTACCAACAGAAACTGGGCAGAAAAATAGGGTGGAAACCAGTTTCTTGAAGTTTGCCTCTCTGGGCTGAAGTTATGGAATAATGTTACAAAAAAAAAGACAACTAAAACTGAAACCCGGTGGGAAATGCCACAGTGCCGTCGTATAGATTTTCAATCGTGCCCTCCAAATGAACCTGTAATTCATGTTTTACATTATGCATCGGTGACACTTTAAATATATCTTTGGGGGAGTTTCATAGCTGTGGCACGCTATTATATTTTCTGGCATTGTTGTCTGTCGAGTAATATATTATTACATGGTTATTTAGCATTTGTCTGTCTCATGTTAGTGGAAAGAGGCAGGGAAGGGGGTGAATGATGTAATAATGATCCCTCTGAGATGCTCTCCGAGCCCCTCACACGCGGTTAATGAATTCTCATGCCTTTCTTTTTCCCTCTCTCAACTCCCATCCAAGCGGTATCATTACTCCCCATTAGTCAGGTAATTATGGAACTTGCTGCTGGAAGACGGGGTGAGTCAGTACAGAAGTGGGAATGCTTTCCCCCTCCCCAGCCCCCAGCCCTCCAGACCACACACTCTCCCCAGTACAAAGAGGCCGTGGGAGGGATTTGATTCACTAAATGAGATGGCAGACCCTCCTGCTTCCTGTGTATTCACCCTGAGCTAAGTTTCCTCCTTGGCTCCTGCTTGTGTGGCCATTCCCTGTCCATCTGCCTCGTGTGTGGGCAGAATTCCCCTGGCTGTGGGATCTGGGGTAGTGCCCTGGGGAATGGATGCTTGATTTGGGTGCTATGTGATCTGTTTCAAATAGAATGCAGTTAGCTAGGAAGGAGGTCAAGTTCTCTCTCTCTTCTTCTAAAGAGAAGGCTTAGAACTTCCTGGAAGAAACAGAGAAAGAGGAGGAAGGGAAGACGAGAGAATACTCAATTCTCTACTTACTTTACCCTCCTAGGAAGCAACATTCTATTGCACTGCAAATAAATGTAAATATGGACGTCAACAAAACCCCCAAATGATTCAGCATCCTCAGGAAGATATTTTCCTTATTACCGTCGCTCATGTCCAAGGTGATGTTGATTCTATTTGCTCATGTGTCTATCTATCCAATAGTCGTAGTTTGAACTAGGAGGAGGAGGGAGAACACAAAGAAGATCATAGCAGAGTCGTGAGTGCCACCACTGGGAGATGCAGAGTGTTGTGGGAATGTCTAGGAGGGGTATTTAGCTGGAGGTTAGCACAGAACATCCCAAGAGCCAGGTTCCAAGGATGAGGTCTGCTACTTTCTGGCTGCATGAACCTAAGTATGCTACCTCAACTTACTCCTCTGTCAAATGGTGAAAAAATAGCAGAGACTATCTGCTAAGGTTCCTCTGAAAGGCAGAGAGAAAGCATGGATGTCAAGTGCTTAATATACTACCCACTGGCTGGTAAGCTCCTCAAACCATGTGCATAGAACATGATATGTCTCTTTCAGGAACAAAGGATGGTAAGACATAATGGCATTTTCCTAGGAGCTCAGATTTGTAGGAAAAGTCAATCTAGACCTGACTTATCCAGGTCACAAGTAATAGATCAATAGCCCTCAATCTGAATATTATCAAAAAATAAAAGTCAATATTCTGTGGAGTGTTCCAAATTCCTGACTTCAGAACAAAAATCAAAATCAAAATGCCGAGTCTCATAACAGCAGCCAGGTAGAGGTGGATGCTCTTGAGTCTCTTCTGTTGTGTGCCATCAACCTGCTCATCCCGTTATTATCCCTGCTGGATACACCCACTGTGTCCTCCACTCCTCGTGCTTCTATGCCGATGGCTCCTAGCGTAACTTGAGTACCTGGTATTCAGTGTGGGTAATGTGCCGCTACGCCCTCTGCTGTAACTAACTGTCCCAAGCGCTTTTTGCCTTGATCAGCTTTCATTACAGCCATCTGACATACTTGTTGGCTGAGAAGTTTTTCCATTTTGAAAATATATACAATGACTGACAACCTGCCTCACTGCTTCCCAAGAAGCCAAAATATATGAAAAGCCCCTCTCCAAAGTATTGGATGTCTTCCATTTGTAGAGAAACAGGGACACGCAACTCATCTTGATGAAGGAACCCTCATGTCCACTCTATGTTGTGCGTTTATTGGGTTTAATTAATGTGCACATTATTTATGGCTCTCCTATTACATAAACATAAAATCACATAATAATGCAATTTAATCACAAACAACCGCATAACATAAATGCTTACACTGTATCACCTAATAAGAATGCTATTAGTTGGCAAAAAGAAATTATCATTAAAACCTTGGTGCTGACCTATTGAATGGCACCTATTTACTTTGAATGGAGAACCTGGAAGTTATTTTGAGTTGCTGTGCAGTGTTAGGTCCTAGCAAGAAAGAACGATGGCACTGGTTCTTTACTTAACACCAAAGAAGGTACAGTCAGGAAAAAGTCTAGGAAAAAATGAGTGGCTTTATGGGGTAGGTGCTTCTTGTGTGCTTGAACATGAAGGACTTTCAAGAACTGGTACCACCATTGGTCCTGCGGGAGCATGGTCCCATCGTCTATGTTTTACATTTATTTTTGGTGCCAGTTGACTTTGACAAGAAAGTTGTCCATGTGTTTTGTCCTGCTTAAATTCCTACTGGAGTCCTAAGAAAAATAAATGGAATCCTAAGAAAAATAAAGCATTGCTTTGTGGAGCGACGATGCCCACTCCAAACAAGATGGCGGCCTGCATCCGCTCTTGTGTTGACTATGGCAAAGCTGCTTGAGTACAAGTGGAAACAACCAACGCCCACATTTTAAATAACATAAAGGAAGAATTTGGGGGTGGGGAGCCAAGGAAGTAAATTGTTAATAATTGGCTATTGTTGTTGTACTCTGCCTAAGTAAACAGACCGGGCAGGCAGTGAGTCTGGGTCTGCTGTTGCCAAGGGTGAGGGTATGGAGGGGGAGGAGGGACAAACTGAGACAGCCTTGTCTTGTTTGATAGCCTGCACCAATTTTTCCTGGTGATTAAAAACAATGATAAAGTGTATGAAGGAAAAATAAAACATAAGTAGGGACCTGCCTCACTGCTAATAAATCACTC